CCCCCAGAGGCAAGTGTATAAATAAAATCTCGGGGAGTGCCGCAGAGCGCGGCAGCACTGCGCTGAGCGTAACAGAGAGAGCACAACAATACAGAGAGAGAAAGAGAGAGGGAGAGGGAGAGCGAGAGAGAGAGAGTGCGCGATCTGTTGCGCTCTTTTGCTTGTTGCCTTAGACAATATTTGATCATTGGCAACTTTATGGAATCAAGTCAAGTTTGCAATTTTGTTTGTTATAAATCCAGCACGCATCTATAAATATATCAATAAATGTTGCCTGTCCGCCTGCGTGTGTGTGTGTGTGAGTGTGTGGCACACACCTGCAGCAGCTGCCATCATACACGTCATTTTACACACACGCGCAACCAGAGAGAGATTTTCGGAAAATTCAATTTCCCTTTGTTGTTGGCGCTTGTGCACACGACACACAAGTCACCCACACACACACACATGCACACACACACGCTCTCACTCTTCCACAACTTTTGGATAGCATAGATTCCTCTGCGAGTCTGTCTGGCTCTGTCTGCAGCATGCAACATCCAGCCATGTAGAATTTTTAATTGATCAGTAAATATCGCGTGGGCTGTACACTAAATGATTAATATCAGTTTAGCCCGCCCCCCTGCCCCTGCCCTGCCGCCCACAATGTGTTACAGCATTTTGGCACAGCTCTGTCTGTGCACATTAAAATGCCAGTGGAAATTGTAAGCGAAATTGCAAACAGCTGCAGCGCAAGGAATTTCCAACTGGAAAAACGAATTACGAATTTCTCTCTTGACATACAATATGAATGTGTGCACATATACATACATACATACATATATTTCATTTCGTATTTAGCTGTGTGCAACGGTGACAAGCTAAGGGCAAGCGTCCAAGGTAAATAGCGTTGCCCATCAAGTCGAAATCTCTATTAGTTAGATTTTCGCTGTTGTCTCAATGTAACGATGACATTTTCAAAGCAGCCAATTTGCAGACAAGTCCGACAAGGCTAACAACAGCAGCAACAAGATGAACAACAACAACATTTGCATTTACATCACAATTATTACATACAAATCTCTGTAGAGAGGGAACAAAATATCGCGTGTTCGGCTACGTTCAACGTGGGCAGACAAAGCCCACATAGTCAGGTTGTTTAACTAATTTAAATACAGGTGTTATAAATTTAATTAAAAGTAAGCATTACGTAGAAGAGTTGAGGCAAATAGAAAGTACGAGAAAATGGGATTAAATGTTATTTAGAGAGCCTAAAAGAATCAGTGAAAGGGCGAAATTTGCTTATGTATAGGTAATCCCTTTATCGTATTAATATACCCTTCATAAATTGACTTTAACATTTTTTGATGTCCTGCTATGTTAACTCTATGTCAAGTTAAAATTGTGTTCAGCTTTGTAAAGTTATGTTAAGTTAATGTTATGTTAATGTTATGTTAAAGCCCTGTTGTAGCAAATTGTACTTTGAAATATATTTTCCCCATTGTCGTGGATAAAATGCATCTCTATTAAATTCAAACTGTTAATTTAATAGAAAAAAATGCCCAGTCAGAAAAATACTCTAGATATAACTGGTTAGCTTGAGCAGCTTGTAAAAAGATCCAGAACTTTCGATAAGTAAACTTTTTCCCTTTACTAAAAATATATAAACATTAAACAAATCACCTTAAAATTCAAATACTCTCTAAGAATTTCCTTGTTTGAATCAATAATAATATAAAAAGATCGCATAAGAGATCATTTTCTATAGAAAACACTGATCAGCTTTAAAGAATATTCAATATGTAAACATCGCATAGCCATCAAACAATTTTCACCCCATATAAACATAAGACATTATTAACTTTTATGATAGGTAGAATCATCATCAAATCACGCACTAAAAGCGTATTTTATTATGTTTTTCTACAGTTAACCAAGGTAGTAAAAGTTAGTTTCAATATAAGCAACAACAAAAATACGAATATATTCTGTATAAATTCTTGTGGCACACAGAGAATTTATAATTGAGTCCATGTAGACACTGAATATGAACATATATTAAAATATTAAAAATAACGCTCGTATATATATATAAATAATTGCAGCTATTAATGCAGCAGCGCCAGCAGACAAGAGCAATGGAGCAGTGTGAAATGCAATCTCTGTATGAATTTATTTTATTTTTTTTTTAATTTGTATTTATTTTTCATTTTACAATTCATATTTGCTGCTCTCCTCTTCTTGCTCCTCCTCATGTTTGTCTATAAATAAATGCGATTCGCGAATCTTTGATAAAACTTGGCGTGTTTCACGTTCAACACTCGAAGCGTTAATTGGGTCATAAATTCATAAATTTTCCAGCTTTTCATTTATTTGTATAAAAATATTGCAAATTTATGAGCAGCAAAAAGAGCAGAAAATTATGGAAAACTTGAAGAGTTTTTTGCTGCATCTGGGGCCAAAAGTTCAAGTTGAAGTTTGTCTATGAATATGCTCCAATTGGTATTATCCATTAGGAATTGTGGACTTATAAATAGATCGACTATTAAAATGGCATTTGGTCATCTCTTGCACGCGGCACAAAACATCATTAATTATATTATTCTCTGCGGTCAAGCGGCTTGGAACCGAAATACACATCAATAAAAATCAACTACGGGCCAGATATGTATATGTATATGTATATATAAGTATGTATATATTCATGAAAAATTGGAAAAGCTGGCCACAAAGGTGTTTCGTTTTCGACAACAAATTCAATTTATTATTCAAACTCTTGAGCTAAGCAAACAATTAGCCGACGACTAAATACCCTAAATAGCTCAAATCGGTTTACCTAATCATAGACTCTTCTCGATACACTAATCTACCCCTTTGGCATGTTGCTGTTGTAGGTATTTTTGAAAGAAATATTAAATTTGTAGAGAAAAATATTTTTAAGTACGCCAGGAAAAATGAAATCATGTCAAAGACAAACTATTGAATAAGACTTTTTGGCAAACGTATTTCGCATGTTTTCTTAGTGCAACAAGAACCATATGTACACCGATATACATATACACAGTATTTCAGCTACGTACATCCAGATTACGCAATGCAAAAGGCCCTGTGCGAGCAGCCAAAAGAAATAACAAACCGACAGAAAAAATAATAGAAATACTGAAGAACAAATGGCAAACAGTTTGAAGAGCAGAGACCCCCCATAGAGGTCCACAAAGTGAGCTGCGTAAACAAATCATGCGAGTGACATAGATTCTGTGTTTTGTTGTCATAAGTATTTTAGCGCGGAAATTCACTCGCTCAACTTGGCGCAAATCTCTTTTGAATTGTCACCAAGAAATATGATTTCGCAGCGACTAATTTGACAAAGGATATGACATAAGATAGTTGACAGCATTATTTCAGCGACAGCAGGCAGAGCATCGGGCGAACCCAAACAAAACACTTTGCATCAAAGCAAATTCGATTTTATCATTGGGAAAGCTAAAAAAATTCTATTTGTTGCTATTTTACTTATCATCTATGTATTGACATTTTTGTTGCATGCTTTTAGGCGCACTTTAAAGTGGGATTCATGGATGATCTCAATGTAATTATAATCAAAATGATATATAAAAATAATTAAGATACATAAATGTATATAATTGAGAGAAAATGATTTCAAATAAAAGACATTATTATAAGAGTAAAGGGAATTGTGCGACCAAAGATCAATTATATGAGATTGATCTTTAAATGATATTGATAATATAATAAAATATGTATATACCTAGCATATTCAATTATAAGATATCACAATTGCATGTGTATAGATAGATAGATAGCGATCTATGTGATAAATGTTGACTTTAGAAAAATGAAGTTTGAAGAGGAAACGTGTCTCTAAAAGCAAAAATAGATCTTATCTAGTATAGTAGATATATCAACAATATATGTCAATGACTCGATCAAATAGCAAATCAATATTTATTTACTATACTATTGGGTTATACACATACATATATCAAATATAAAGCAATAGTTTATATATTAATCACATTTATCATCAAGTTCAAGTCAATCAGGAATTGTACTAAAGAGATTTATCTCTCGTATGCCAAGCAATGGTCATACACACACTTGCATAGAGCATCATAAAATGTAACTTTTATAGTAATAATAAACTGAAATTCTATATGCATGGACCATGGCAATAATGGCTGGTATTATGGCTACTTAAAAAGATCTTTGAAACATGACATTTTAAGTATTCTCTGACTTGGCTGACAAGAGCCATAGAATGAGGCCATCAACTGAGCTATTCGCACAATACCCAAAAGATTCGGTACTCGAATCGATGACATCATATGGCCGAAACGAGCCAAATGCAAATTGGGCCAAGCATATGGCATATATATACATATACGATTATACTACATCAACTATATAGACTATATACCGTATATATATATTTATACATATATTATATGGCCAATTGTCTCTGGCTGAATGTCAGTGCACTTGGCGCATGCATTGCGACCATTTGGATAACAAAATGATCTCAATGCTAGGGCATTTCTGCAGTCCGAGAGACTGAGAGGTGAGACGAGGGAGGAGAGAAATGCAAATAGATGAGAAATATTTATAGACGAGTCGAGCCGGGGCGAGCATTGCGTCAGATGCAGTTTCTGAATGAACCGATGTGATCGATACATATATTTACATATATATTTATATATTCATATATTCATATTTATTGTCAGCAGTAATCGATAAACTAACAGATATCATAATAAATAATAATAATAATAATAATAACAATAATCCTGCTCTCGATTCGATTTATAGATCGTTCGTGCGATTCTGGGTCTGGTCGTTAATATAATACAGTGAAAGATCCCTCAGTCTAGCGGAACTGGAACTGGTACTGGTACTGGAACTGGAACTGGGTGCATAACAATTTGATTGCTTTTGATTTGCTTTGTGGATTGTTTTATGCAGCGTGCGCGATTTGGATTTGGGACTTATGAACATGTCTATAAGAAACAGATAAAGATTGAAATCAAATGAAAAAGTATAGAATATTCGTTGCCTAGAAAAGCGGATAGAAATTGGCATCTTTGATCAGGTCAAAGGTGTCCACAACAGAGCGAGCAGGCGCAGCTGTTGGTGCATTGTTAGTAGCCAAATCGGAGCTCGGCGGCTCCTCGAAAGATGAGGCAGGAGTCAGGCACAAGCTATGCCCGGCACTTAGGCTGGACAAGAGATTCTGCTGCGTCGAAGCTGGCGTTAGATTGGTTGAGGCTGATACCGTAATGGGCGCAATCTTGGCCAGCGCCTCGGCCAAGGCTGCATCAATGTCTGGGCCATTGGAGAGCTCTGCAGCTATGCTAGACTCCTGCTCTGTGGACTCTTTGATTGACTTCTTGCGCTTCTTCGTTTTCTTTTTCTGTGCTGGCTCAAGCTCCGCAATGCCACCCAAAGTTCCCTCGGCCACAAAGCCAATGCTGCTGCGCGGCGAGAGGAGTCCAGCGTTGGTCTCCTCATTGGTGGCGCTGCTCTTGGAGCTGCGTCGCGAACGCACCTTGCGCTTGGGGGTTTCCGTAAGGGTTTCCCCATCCTCTCTGGTCGCCGAGCCGCGTCGATTCATTTGTTGATTCGTGTCTGAGTCGTTCTCGTCCCGCAATTCCTCCTCTGTCTTAGAGCCCTTGCGTGTCTTCTTCTTGCTCTTCTTCTTTTTGGGCTTCTCGAGAGATTCTTCGTTTGCAGCATTCGTCGCTTCCGTCTGATCGATTGTCTCTTCTCTGATCTCATTTTCCTGCTCTGGCAACGTTTCCTCAAGCACAACGGACAACAGCTCGCGCTCCGGACTACGACTAAAGAGGGTTATGCTCTCGCCACCCAGACTATAACGACGTAGATCCAATTCACCACTTGGTGCCGGTTCGTATAGATCCTGTTCCAGCCCGAGTTGCAGCTCAAATTGTTCCTCATTCGGAGCTACTTCGTCCAGCTGTTGCTGCTCCTGTTGCTCCTTCTCTTCGATTTGTTCCTTTGCAGTCCGCTCCACGTTGGGCTCTTCAGACTCATTATCGTCCAGCTTAAAGTTCTTACGCCAATTGTATTCCCTCTTCGGCTTGTAGTTCAGATCCACTTCAATATCATCCTCTAGAATGCCGCCCTGCAGCTTCGGACTATAGCCATAGCGGGTGCGCAGGCGGGTCGACTGCCGTGCAGCCACCTGTGCATCGCCTAGATAGCGCATCTCCGTATCCCGACGCTCGCCTTCGAGCAGTCCAATGGCTACGTCAATGTCTCTGTGCCTATTGCCATCTTCAGACCTAGTTAGCTCTCGGGTCTTGGCCCATAGCGCATAGCGATCGCTTTCCGAACTGGATTTCTCCTTGTCGGACTCGCTCTGATCGGCATTATCCGCCGGCAGCTGCTCCTGCACCATTGTCTCGTAGTCCCTGAGAATGCCACTCTGCTTGCGATTCTTTACGGCATCGTTGTAGATCTGCTCGATAAACGAATCTGGATCGGAATAGGCTCCACCCACGGCCCCATCGTCCAGGCTGAAGTCCGCAAAGTCCTCCACATTGTCCACCTCCTCCCAGTCGTTGGCTTCCCGATTCGCATAACGATCCGCATTGCGTTCCGCCTCCTCGCACTCGGACGTATCGTGATGCGATTCATCCGTGGGCTGCGTACGCTCATTGTTATCCGAGATGCCCTCGTCCAATTCGAATTCGTATTCATCTTCGTCGTCGTCATCCATTTCGACCACAGTCTGTCGTTCGTCCTCGCTGTCATTGCTGCTGCAGGCCTCATCGTTGCCAGGATATTCTCCGCATATGTCGAAATTGTAGATTGCGCTCGTCTCATCGAACTCGGCTGCCTCCGCCTCGGCTGCGAGCACAGCGCGTGCCCATGAGCCCTCTTCAGTGGCATATTCCGACTCCTTGCCCGACTCCCCCAGCAATTTCCTGCCCTCTTGCAGGTTCAGCTCGAGGCTGTCCAGATCGCGCGTATAGAAATCCTCTTTGAGCCAGGTTCTCTTGCCCGTCAGCGAACGCACTTCGATCTGCGAGATATAGACACACTCATCGCTCGGATACTCCTCCACCGGCTGCTCTTGGGCCAGCGAGTAGCGTCTGAAATGATGATACTCCTCGGGCTCCATATCGGCAAACGGATCCAGCTGCATAATCGCCGAATCGGAGGCACGTCTCTCACTGTCCAGGAAATCGGCGTTCAAATAGCGCGAGAAGTTCTGAAAGTTTACGCTCGAAGCAGCCAGCTGATCCAGCAGCTGATCCTGCAGCTCCCGCTTGGCGGCCTCAGCGTCAATGTTCTGCTGAGCACGCGCCTCCTCCACATCCCGCACGGGCGAACGACTCTGACTGCGTGAGCGCTGAAACTCGGCCGTGCGATGACGCAGATCGTCCAACTGGCCCGATATGCCTGCCCCGAGTGCGTCCTCCTTTCGCTCCTCGGACACCCTGCGATCGTATTCATTCGTCTTGGGCTTGGCACCCAGTCGCTTCTCGTTCTCCAATCCACTGGCGCTGACCAGCGAATTGAGTATCGCCTCCTGCATCTCACGCTGGGCTGCCGCCTGGTCTCTGGCCATCGATAGGTCCAGCGAAGGCGAAGGCGTGCGAGAGCGTTCGAAGCGCGCATTATCCTCCCGCTGCTGCGAGTACTCGCTGCCCAGATCCAAGGACTCACCCACGTAGGTGGAGCGCTTGAAGCCACTGATGTTAAGCTCCTGCTTTAGCTCACGCGCTGCATCCGAGATGGTGCGTTCGTAGTCGCAGGGCAAGTCCGATTCGACGCGCAGCTCGACCTCCTCGCTGGCATTTGTCAGCTGATGCAGCGCCTCCAGATCGAACTCTCGCTGCTTGGCTATGCTGTCCAGCATAGTCTCCATCTCGGCGCTGTGCTGCCGCAGGGTCCGCTGATCGGCGCCCTCGACATTGAGCGTGAGGTGCAACTCCAGCTCCTCCGTTTCACCGCTTGGCGAATTGGAACGTGAGCGTGAGGGCGACAGGGAGCGCATGTCCCGACTGCTGCCAGGACGCTCCGGCTCTGGTGTCTTAGCTCGTTGATCCAGCTGCTCAAAGAACGCATCATTCTGAGCAATAAGCTTCTCCCGTCTGTGCTGCAAACTGTGCTCCAGATTGTCCGCCGATGGCAGAGGCGAACGGGAACGCGAATGCGAGCGAACGCGATTCAGACGCAGCTGCTCGAACAGCTTGGCCATCGACTCGGGCGTATCCTCCGGCTCCTCTGGCTCCTCTCTGGGCTCCTCCACGCTCTCAATGGAGATGGTGGGCAAGGGCGGTGGACTGAGCGCAATCACGGGAATAGTGGGAGCTGGAACATCCAAGCAAGCAGCCTGCTCATCCTTCAACTGCTCAAAGAGCTCATCGTTCTGCTTGATGCGCTTCAAGCGTCTTGCCTCCAGACTTCTTTCTATATTGTCCGCCGTGGGCAGAGGCGAGCGTGAGCGGGAACGGGAACGTGACTGTGAACGCTCACGTGAATTGCGCTCGGCACGCAGATTTTCCACAAACAAACGCATCTCCTCGCGTGTGGGCAATGGCTCCGAGTCGTCGACTCGCGGCTCAGCCATGTCGTTGATCTCGATTATGGGCTGGGGTAGATTGGCATCGGATTCAGTGTGAGTTGAATGGGGCTCTCCAAGTCCATTGGCTTCCATTTCCAGTGCAATTTCTCCCTGAATATTCAAAGCCTTCTGTTGCATTTGCTGCTCCAGTTCGTTGACGGTCTGAGGTTGCGTCTCAAAGACCATGGGCACAGCTGCACTAGCGCCACCATTCTGTGGCACTTCGTCGGCAACATTCTGGAGCTGCAGCTGCTCGCCCGGAGACGGGCTTTCATTTATATTCGCCTCCAGCATTTGCAGAACTAGTTCGCAATTCAGCTCGCCAGCCGGCAGACCCGCTTCGCTATCATCGTAGACCTCCAGCGTATGCGCCTCATCCACGTCCATGCGATTGGCCACGTTCTTCGGCTGTGGCGACGGATTGCGTGAGGCAGATCTGGATCTCGAGGGGTTTACGGATGCCTGAAAGTCGTAGAAGTCGCTGATGCCCTCCATGAGCAAGCCATATTCATCCCTCCAGGGACCCGTGTCCGGCTGATGAATTGTGATCGTTGGCGTCGGCAGGCTGGGCGCTTGGCTCGCTGCCTCCGATTCGCGGCAACGCTCCTCGTAGTGAACCATTTCGTCGATGCGCGGACTGCGACGCAGACCGGGTGAGCCACCACGCGGCTGCTCCTCTGTCGCTGAAGAGGTTTGCAGCTGCAGAGGCAAAGGCCAGCAGAAAGCGGAAAGCAGAAGGCAGAGGCCGATATGAAAGGCAAACGGAAAGCGGTTAAAGCAATTGCGGGCGAAATAGTTAGGGCGAGGCGGGCATTGGGAGGCTGGGCGGGCATTGCGTGCGTGGATTAAGAGTTGGCCAAAGCACTTACATTGGATTTATTGTCGCTGCTGCTCGCTTCCGTTGCTTTCGAAGATTCCGCGCTGTCCTTCTCCTGCTCCTGCTCCTTGTCCTGATCAAAAGTTGTTCGATTATAATCAGCTGTTCAAGCTTCCCTGCATCACTTACCACTTGCTCCTTGGAGCGCTGCTGTCGCAGTGAATTGGCGGCCTGTTCATTTTGTTCCTCAGTCGCGTGCTCAAAGGATGAGGCTTTGGGCAGGTTCTGTGAATCATCCAACACCTCTTCGCCGGAGGCACGCCTCTCCAGATCCAGCTCCTCCTCGTCAATGGACAAGGCCTTCTCGCGCTTCCAAAACTCCGTGTCCTTATAGTGTTCCGGTGTGAGTTCGCCCCAGGGATTTGTGCTCTCCTCGCCCAGCATTTCCAGCGAGCCAGTCACATCGGACGCTGGCTTCACGTCCTTGACAGGACTGCGCTTGTGTCGCCTGTGATGCGACTTGACGCGCAGAGTGGGCTCTGTGTACTTGATGGGATTGTAGTCAGCCTTATCGCCATGTCGCAGCTCCTCCTCCTCCAGTGATGTGAACATTTTCAGCTCGTCGTCCCGTGAGGCGCGTGACTCACGCGACGAGTTCGAGCTTCCGCTTGATCGCCGCTTCTTGAAGGCGCGTCGACGACCCGAGCCATCCTCACGTATCAGGGATCGACTCTTGATGCCATCCAGCGATCGCAAATAGTCCTCGCTATACTGGACATCGGGCACATTGTCCTCGCCCTCCGGCTCCTGACGTTCCTCCTCTGTTCGGCGCTCCTCGGAGGGCTGTGTGCTGAACGAGGACTGCTGGCTGGAATTGGGCTCCACGGAGGAGCCCTCATCGGAGACGCCCGGAAACATGAGGGTCTTTGAGCGTGCGTAAGGCTCGTCGACTCCTCCGCTCTTTTGGCCAAACTGCGTCTTGACGCGCTGCACAACCATCGGCTCTTCGAGCGGCGGCTCCTCGAATCTGGGCGGCAATATCTTCTTGACGCACAGCTCCTCAACGACGGGCTCCATGCCCGCATATTGTGCCTCCTCCTGCTGCTGCGCCGCCTGCAGTTTGCGCTGCTGCAGCATCACCATCTCCTCCTCCGCCTCCATGAAGAGTCGCGCATTCTCTTCAATCGATCGTTGTTTCTTTTCCTTGTCCATTTTGCTAGCTGCCCTTCGTCGCGACTCCTCCAACAGTATCGCCTCCTCCTCCAGCTCGCTCTCTGTGGCGCTCAGCTTACGCTCGCGCTCAGCTGCCAGGAGACGTTCCACAATTTCCTTGTCCCTCTGCTCCTGCTCATCCTCCAAGTCGAACAACTGACGCTCGATCTCTGCAGCAGCCGCCTCCTCCTCTTCGATCTGGCGTTGGGCTCCGAGTCGCTGCTCTTCTGCCTCACGCAGTTTTCTTTCATTTTCCTCCAACTGCTGCTGTTCCTCATCCGCTCTTCTTTGCCTCTCCTCTCTTTCCACTTCGGCCTGCAGCAATTTTCTCTCATTTTCTTCGCGCTCGCGTTCGATTTCTTGCAATTTTCTTTCATTTTCCTGCCTTTCTAGTCTCTCACTTTCGGCTGCCAGCAATTTTCTTTCATTTTCCTCGCGCTGCTTTTCGGCCTCAATCACTTTGCGCTCATTCTCCTCCCGTTCCCGTTCCCTTTCCCGCTCTCGCTGTTCCTCCTCTTCGCGCTTTCTTTCGCCTGCTTCGCGTTCTTTTTCCGCCTCGATTAACCTTCGTGCGCTCTCATTCGCCTCGGCGGCCAGTCGTTCCTCCTCGGCTCTCCTCCGATCCTCCTGCAGCCTGTGCTCCGCCTCGGCCAGCTGTTTGCGCGTCTCCTCCTCGATGCGTCGCTGCCGCTCGAGCTCCGCAGCCAGCGCCGCCCGTTTCTCTGCCTCCGACTCCACCCGGAATCCGTTGCTATAGAGCACCCCATCCTGCATCACACGGGTGCCCGCAGCTGCCTCCATGGCCGCCGCCTCAGCCAGCTCCCTGTCCAACCGCTCTCGCAGTCGCGGCAGCTCCTCGGCATCGGCCGCCGCATCTATCGACGCACTATTGCCATTCGGATGCTGGCAGCTCCAGTGATACAGATGGCGCGCCACAAACGCAAACTCCAAGGCGCCTAGGTAGCCGATCAGCAGCGAGAAGAGCAGCTCCCCGATGCCGGTGAGCGCGTCGTCTGCAGCCATTCGCGTTCGCTTGCGTAATGCGCCCGACTTTTTATAGAGTATTCAGAGGCAGCAATGCAATGTATGTGTGTGTGTGTGTGTGTGTGTGTGTGTGTACTCACCACGCACTCACAAACACTCAGACAGACTATCGAAACACTCAAGAGCGATTAGGTAATTCAATTAGAAAATTTTTCCGATTTTCACTTGAGAATAAATAACTTAAATATTTGCAAAAATTTGCAAACAAAAATATATATATTTTGCTTGAAATATATCTATTGATATATATATATATATAGATATTTTGCACAGTTTCTCTATTCACTTTTTGGGCAGCGAGGCAGCAGCGTGGTGGCAGCAGTTGCAGTTGCAGTTGCAGTTGCACTTGGCGCCAGTTGTTGCCACCTAATCGATCGTCTTGCAACTGATTAATGCCGCGCAGCTAAAGGGCCGACAGCGGCTGAGTGAATCACAACAAATCGTGGCGACGGCGGAACGGGTTGATTTTTGGCAACGAATTCGGCGCACGGGCTATACGGTTATTTTTTTTTTTTTTTTTTTGCTCTCTTTTATTGGCCGAGCGCGATTCCTAATCAGCGCGCCATGTAAATTGCGAATGATTTTTCGTTTAACAATCTATTCAGCAAAAGGCCAATGAATAAATACATGCATACACACACACACAGACACGCTCACATATATAGCAATATATATATATTCTTTATTTTTTCACATTTTCCATTTTCACTGAGTTTTCGCATTTGTTGCGTTCACGCTTTTCATTTTGGGCTATTTATGTTTTTTAATACTTTTGCCATGGCCAATGTCGTTGCAGTTGTTGCTGCCACAAATCGCGGCAACAACAACAACAACACAAATTTATTTATCAGCAAACATGTTGAGATATAAGAAATTCATCTATTTTTATTATTTTTTTTTTTTTCCCAATAAATATCGAAATAATGTGCCAAAAATAAATTGGAATGCCTGGGCGTCTTTCTCTCTCTCTCTCTCTCTCTCTCTCTCTCTCTCTCTCTCGCTCTCTGCGTGTTGAAAGGGAAAGTGTGTTTGCGACAGCAGAAGTGGGCGTGGCAGCCTTATGCTATACATTTATGTTATTTTCAATGGCAAACAAATGAGATCGCCCCATGATCTATAGAGATTATATTGAAGCCCACAGCTGGCAGAGCAAAGCGAGCAGCGAGAAGAAACAGCTGCTGAGAGCTCTTGAGCCAATATGATTTACGAAACAGAAACTGTTAGAAGGTCAAGAATCGAGATGAGTTTTTTAGGTGACACACACTGCCCATTAATCAAGAGCAGAACACGAAAAAGTGGAGATCAATCAGTGCAAGTTTTCATGTTGAAATGTGCTTAAAACGAAAAACAACATAAACTAAAAACTCTAGAAAATGGAATTTGGTATAAACATAAATAGGAATCCAAAACTTTAAATAAAAAACAAAAACGAATCCAACCGGTCTTTTATTTTTTAATTTATATTATTATATACTTTTGGCTTTTTATTTCCAATTCATTTTCTTTTATTTATTTATTTCATTTTTGTTTGCATTTTAATTTTTTTTTTTTTTTAGTTTATTTACTTTAGTTTATTTTTATTTACATTTTAATTTTTTTTTAGTTTATTATTCTTCATTGCATTTTTATTTATTTTTTAATTTGTAATTATTATTTTTTTTTTTAATATTTTTTTTTTTCTTTTATATATGTTTTTTTTATTAGTTACTTTTTATTTTATCTTTTATTTATTTAATTTTTAATTTTATTTTATTTTGTATTTCATTTTTATTAATATTTGTTTATTTTTTATTTTTTTTTTTTTTTAGCCATTCACTGCTTATGTTTATTTCCTTTTTATTTTTACTTTTTGGGTTATTTTAAATTTATATTAAATTTAAATCTTAGAATTTTCTTACTTATGAAAACAGATTTCAAGATTTAGACTTACTTCAAGAGTTGCCTTGCTTCACTTGGCTTTAAGGCACTTCTCTGAACGATTACTCAACACTAATGCTTGAACTCACTTCAGAATTCAAGCTGCTGCTGCTGGTGCTGCTGCGGCCAGCGATGTCCACATGCCAGAGGACAATGCCACAAAGGAACTGTCAGCTGGCCTCGATAAGGGCCAAAAGCTGCATTGGCTGACCTTTCGATATGGCCGAGCAGATATGAAGTTCAATGAATTAAGTTTAATATACCTGGCTAAAGATTATGGAGGACACACCTCAGTCATTAAAGCGGACCGAGCGTGCGACAGGCCATAAAAGCAAAAACAAAACCCGGATACCAAGAAGAGCGAGCGAGAGGCAATTCGAACCGTGAAACAATTAGATGAACAGCCTGAAAGTGTGCTAAGCATTTGTGTCCACTCAAAGTCTACGTATGTATGTGTGTGTGTATGTGTGTGTGTGCTAGACAATTTGGTGATGGATTTGAGAGCGCGCACTCACCTCATCACAGCCCGTGCAGCGGGGTTTCAGCATTTCCGCGTAATGGCGCTCGCAGTAGACCTTGTCGTCGTGGACGCAGTAGGTGAGGTCCACCAGCAGCTCGTTGCAGGTGCTGCACGTGAAGCACTTGGGGTGCCACATGACGCTCTCCACGAATTTGGGCGCGGCCACAACCAAATCGCCAGCAGAGATCTCGTTCTCGCACTGCGCGCAATGCTCATCGTAGGGCGCATCCTTAATGTAGGCTGCACAAGGACAAGCAGAAGTCATATGCATTAGCTTAAGGACTATGCCCCATTCCACCACGCCAGACTCACCTATATCCAGTGCTATCTCATTGCGTGCCGTCACAAAGTCCTCAAACGACGCCTCGTGCTGCACCTCCAGATGCCGGCAGTGCTCCAGCGAGAGATCCTGCTTGGGCAGCTGATACGCTATCTGCTGCTCGCGCCATCGCGCTCCCTCGCTGCCCAGCCGCGGCACCTTCTCCTCGGGCAGCTGCTCGAAGTAGCGATTCACCCGCGACGAGGCACGCACACCAGCCGGCACCCACGTATAGCCCAGATCTCGTGGCTCCACGCCCGAATCAGCGGGCGACACCACCTTGAAGCCGAGTCGCTCGTGCACACTCGTCGTCTGTTGCTGGTAAATGGCGTGAGCCTCACGAGGACATTTGCACGACTGGCAGGTTTTCCTGGAAGAGCATAAACGAAGAGAGATGATGAGAGATTGATTGACGAGGGAAGACAATGGGATAACTGGGAATATATATATATATTTTTAAATACTAAATTAAAACAGCCAAAGGTTCTATATAAATTCTATAGAATTTTCCATTAATTATATATAATTATTTTTATTTTTTATATTATTTTTGTTTATTAATTTTATATTTTTTTTTTTTCAAATTTATTATTTTTATATATTATTATATTATTGTTTCCATTAATCATATATAATTATTTTTATTTTTATATTATTTTAATTTTATATATTTTTTTTATATTATTATAATTTGTATTATTAAATCAAATAAAATCAAAAATTTCTCTCTCAATTTCGACTTTGCAACTTTTACCGCTACTCACGAAAGCAGCGCTCGCTGAAAGCTCATTTCACAGCACAGCACATGCAGCGCCATCTAGCGGCAGCTTTCAGGCCCGCTCACACACGCTTACCTCACAATGAGATCGTAAATTTCCTTTCTATCGAACACCTTGCAGTAGACGCTGAGCACATTGAGGCAGGCGTAATGCATGCCCGTCCAGGGCACGTCGGAGGAGGCCATTGCCGCCCACAGGGGGCAATCAGCGTGGCGGTCCAGGTCGAGCATCCTAACCATTTTATGCGCACTACTTAACGGTTAACACTTTACGATGCGCCGCACATTAACGTTACACAGCACTTGAAACTTTGCTAGTTTTACGAATCTATTTAAATATGATTGCTCATTAAATTCGGCGTTCGGCTTTACAATTATTTTTCACTTGTTTTTCTTTTTCTTCTTCTTTAGCTTTCAGTTTGGGTTTCTTTGGCCCGTTCGGCCTGACTCATCGAGTGCTGTCTGGGAGGCGCCTCCACACAGAAAGAGAACGAGAGATATTTATATATAAGTTAAACAGTTTGCATTTGGCACATCTGTTTGGATTATTTGCTCATTGACATTTTGATGAAGGTGTTAATTTTAACCGTTATACGAGCGCGCACACATTTACGAGCGTCTTCTGTTTACGCCATTTGAGTTTAAGTTTGTTTTCTTTGAATTGCCATTAATTGCTTCGGTTTTCCTATATGTATGTCTTCTCTGTTTTCCAATTAGACAAATACAATCAATGTCATAAAGGAACAAATAACAACAACTACAACAACAACGACCCACGCCAGAAACATGAGTCGAGCCAAATGACCAGCACTCAAAAAAAAAAGGTATTCGAAAATGAAATAAAAATAAAAAATAAAAGCAAAGGCGAAGGTAAAGGTAAAGATAAAGCTAAAGGTAAAGGCAGAGGCAACGGCAACGGCAGAGACAGCAGCTCCCAACTTTCTGATAAGATTAATAAATACGAAAAAATAAAAATAAAGAACCCCAACACACACATTCGTATTGGATTGCGTGATGTCATCAGCGGGGGGGCGGCTGGGCGATGCAGGCGTGGCTGGGCCAGCAAAACAGATTGTCAACTGCCACGAAAAGTAAAACAGTTCAGGTAGGCAATAAACTCGAAAAGTAGCTGATGAGCAAGCAGCCGGCCAGAGATAAGTCCAATAAGAACGACGCACACACACACACACACTCACAGTCCAATAAGAGGAAATGCATGAAAGCTCGAGCTGACCTTTTATAGGCACAAACTAAGCGCCAACTGTTGCTAATTGCTCACGACTCGACGTCAATGCGGAAAATGCAACAGGTATGCAAATGGCTCAGCGGGGGAGTGGAGTGGAGAGGGGAGGGGAAGGGGAGTAAGTTACCTGGTATCTGGTATCTTAATGCAAACATGGCATAATTTAATGGAATTATTCGCATGATTCATACTCGCAATTTTCTGTCAGCCATCAAGAAACGAGATCAACTTATGTTTCTACTATGAATCATTAGATAAACAGAAAACATATGTATGTATTATTAGATAAGCTATACAAATTGCTGAGTGCGGGTTAGATCTATGTCTAGAGCTGAGATAACTTGATTTATAGTAGAAATTCTTATAGAGCTCGTCAAAAAACATTGACAAGGGAGTAGAAAAGTTAAAATTTTGCGGCATGTTGTAAAGACAAGGGATTATCTATATATATATTTCATATATAATCTTGATTGGCTAACCAAACACAAATCCGTATTTCCCAGCAAATCAATAGTGCAGTCGTAAAGATATAGTCGTAAAGATATAGTCATTAATTTATTGTTCTCTTTTTCAAGTCGTATATAGTATATCGATATAGCTGGCATCCGAAGTCCCTATGACTATATGCCTAACAAAGAAGTTCTTGTCTGCAGGAAGATTTTGTCATGAAGATATTTTTGCCAATTTGGTACCTATGGGCAGTACGTAAGCCGATATTTTAACAATCTTATCTTTGCAAATTGATTCAACCAGTCTCGTAGAGTTCCTTAGCAATCAAACATTCCTTTTATTTTCTTTATATCTCGAGCTCTACATATATAAAATGATATCTGATTTAAAGACTATTATTTAGTTAAGTCAAATATCTGGTAACAGTCGTTTGTCTGCAACATTATTTTCAATTTGTCTGTATAATCTATGTTGTTTGTATAATAAATTTGTTTTTTCATCTATATAATCTATGTTTCATATACATATTTAAAAACAAATTACAAAATTCGAATTTAAGCACTTGTGACCTCAAGCAAAGTTCTTTTTATAGCATTCCCTACTTAATCACAGCGCCTGAAGCTAATACATCATACTAATGCCCGCTATAAATAGCCAAAAGACGCTGACATTTACATGCATATAATATATATATATTTAAATTTGTATATTTAGTTACAATTTGCAAAAGGCCAACAAGTCAAGAGCTAAAGTACAAATTTGTCTGCTTCTTATCTTCTACATAATAGAGTATACCTGGTATATAGACAGTGATAACTGTAGCATTGCCATTCACTAAGATTCTCGTATACTATCTAAATAAATTCAATTCCTTTTGTATTCATAAAGTTGTCAGATGCGCAGCCTTATCTCACTTCGAGCAAACAATTACCGTGCCATTAAAGCGTGTTCAGTGCAGATTAAACAGATGTCGTACGCCCATATCAAATGAGCGCAAAAAGCGAACAGATTTCATTTAATTGAATTGCGACAGCAACACGAATTTAATAAACGATAGCACAGAGCAATCAGCGAGAGACTTGAGCCCAATATGCAATGTCTATAAATATGTACACGAATAAAGAACTGTTATCGATGGGTAGATTATAAAGAGATACCCTAGAAAATGGCGAAATGTGAGCTAGAGCTCAAAAAATATAGTATAGATCGTGAGTAGATGCGGTTGAATATCTAAATTTATGATATTATTATCTGGTGCCCAAAACTATGTAAACTTATATCAAAATATTAATTGCTAAAACTTTTAATTACTTTACTTTTACAAATCCCTATGCAAACTGTCATTTATTTATAGTTTTTAATCTCGAAGATTTTACTTAATAACACAAGTTTTCTTGGAAAACAATTCTAATTTTTGGCTAGTTCTAATTGCCAAATTTGAAATCTTAAGCATTTACTTTTATGATATTTTTGCGGTTTTTACTTTAGACAAGTTAACAATAGAAAATATTTTCTTGTCTATATGATATACTATATATGTATGTATGTATGTCAGTAAACATGATTTTATGACAAGCGGATAAAAGCGTATGAAAACATAATGAACACGGCAGAGCAGGAAGAAGAGGCAGCAGAAGTAAGCGTCGAAGTCGCTGCCAAAGTTTTGCTGCCAGATAAATGTAATTAAAAGCTAGCACACACACACACACAGACACGCACACATAGACAAACGTTCGTTTGTTGTTGCCCGCAGCATTTGGCAGTTGGCTGGTTAGCCGTAGAGCTGCAGGAGGTGCTGCCGCTGAGGTAAGCGCGGGGCGGTCAAACAATTACAATTGATAAGCACCAAAGTCACTTTCATTTATATAAATGTATGTATAAACACATATATCTATGTATGCTTATACGCCTCGGCGAGCAATTGGAAAAGTTTTTGGCGACAAACCGACATTTAAGGGCCAACTGCAGAGTAGACGTCCCCCGTCTCCCCGCCTCTACGGCTGTCCGTCTCAATTCTCTTCTGACCTTCTGCTTCTTGCTTTTCGCCCAACAACTCTGAGCCTGAGCGAAATCCAATTTTCCACTATAATTGAACAGGTTGCGCCATAAACAATAAACAATAAAAATGTGCGCATAAAAGTCAACGACGGAGTGCAACAAATCTCAATTATGAGCAGCAGCTCAGCGCGCAATGCGTGCGAGCGAGAGATGGCTAGGCTAAAAGAGAACGAGACTAGCCGTGAGAGTGAGAGTGAGCGTGTGCCGAAGGGAGATGGCGTGCGTGATAGAATAACTGCAGTTCAAAGCTCAAGCGCGCGAGCGCTACCGTTCTCACACTCACTCTCTCTCACACACACACACGCACACAGCCCAGCTCACCCACACGGCAAGCTCAGTATGCTGCGCTACTGCGCTGCTCGCACGCTTTTCGCTTTCGATTAAATGACTTTTAATGCGATTACGACAAGAACAACAACAACAACAACAAGAACAGTAACAATGCTTGCTCTATTCTATGCACTTGACTGCGGCTACTGTCCCACATAAACTGAACTAAATAAAAGTCTGTTTATAAATGATGCGTGTAGATGGCAACCGCTAATTGAATCAGTGAGCAGCCAACCAGCGATAAGGTAGATAATTAACATATGCCGTTAAGACAAACAGACAAAGAGAGTGTGGCAGAGAGGGAGAGAGAGAGCGTGCGAGCGAGCAGTGCCCACCCGCTTGGAAGTTAAGCAGCGGCTGTTGTCATGACAGCGCTGGAAAGCAGCTTCTAGTTTATGACTTGCAGACACACGCATAGCCGTACACACACACAAATAAGGAAAAGAATTATATTCTTCTGCAACTGTTAAGTTAGTTTTTTCTATCTATGTATATATGTGTATGTGTTTGTATATAAATGCCAAATTGCATTGCGCTTTGTGAATTATTACGGCCTTGCATGCACATTACTTTGGCTTTAGCATTTGCTTGACTCTCCTCTCATTCTCTCTCTCTCTCTCTCTCTCTCTCTCTCTCTCTCTCTCTTTTATTATACGCGGGGGCTTGCAGTTCCGCGAAATCTGGCCACAATGTGCTACACAAAAAAATATATAAAACCAAAACAGGCGCAACAAATGACAAAGCCGGATGATGCACTTTGATAAATTTAGCAGCATGTGCATGTGTGTGAGTGTGCATGCGTGTGAGTGTGCGTGCTTTACTGCATGGTTCATATACATACAAAACCCAAAATGTTGGCAAGTCAATTAAGATCCTTTTAGTTCGCCTACCCTTGTCACGTTCTGTATAATGGATCGAGGTTAATATCTGAAATTTGTCTCTGCCTGAAACCGTTATTCTTGTCACATACAATCTTTGTACAAAAATTCTCGAAAATATCTTTAATGGCGAGTCTCTGAGGCATGAGGGATATGAAAATAAAATGATTTAATCTCCAAAAAAAAATCTCGACTTATGTAAGTATCAAAATAATGTGTGATACAGAAAATCTTATTGAACAGCTTTCAGCGTGTTTGTCACTCGAATTTATACTTTTAGTTAGCTGTGAATCGAGCCTTACAGGGAAAAATATATTTCTATTGCAAAAAATACAAATTAAATAAAATATTTTTAAAATAGTTTAAGCATTTAAAATATTTATAAAATTTTTAAAAAGTAATAAAAATATTAAAAAGTCTATAGGTCATGCCCAAAATGTTTTTTAAAGGAATGTATTTCTTATAAACAAATTCGAGAATTAAATGATTTAAAGTCCTTAACCAATTGATATAAATCCTTCTTTAAACGTAAATATTTCAACATTTATTAAAAAATCCAACAAAAATTCAAGTTTAACAACATTTGAATATACATATGCATATTGTATTAAAAGAATTTTCCATCCACAGTTATGAGCTATCCAAATCTTTCACACCTTTAATTTCAAGAATTTTAATTATTTTTATTATGATATTTTCATCTGATTTATTCCACGTGAAAACAAGAATTCTAAACAAAGACAAATTTTTGGTTATTTTCATTGAAATGATTTTTGTTGTGCCAAGAATTTTTACTTTTGATCTGTTCGCCCTGTCACCGCATAAATAAACAACAACAGCAATAAAAACAGCGAATTCAATTTTGCAAGAATTTTTCGGTCAAACATCATTTTTGGATGTCTTTTATACAAACAACTTTTCGATTTGTTTATAAATATGAGCAAACCGCAATTGGATAAATGTAAACAAGAATTTGGCTGGCAATCGGCGTTTTGTTTGGGGCTGAAAAAGAAGAAGAAGAAGAAAGCAACAGAGAATATGATTTCGGTTTTTCAAATTTCTGTGAGCACTTGAACTTGAACAGCCATGAACAGAACCCACACACACATAAACACTTCATTATCATTTAATTTAATTAATTTTGTTGTTGGGCTTTACACCTTTTTGGCCAACAGACAAACGCAGAAATAAAGAAGTCAACGAACGTCGTATGAAAATCGCGTGAGAAACGCGCGCGTTTGCGTAGCGAGTGTGAAATGAAAAAGGGCGCTGCAAGCGCTGCCAACCGCACCGTTATACAATTCAATCCCAACTGAACTCTGCGTCGGCGTCGTCGTCTGGTCTGGTCTGTTCTGCCTGCTGTTATGCCATGCATGTTGCTGTTGTTGTTGTCGTCGGCGCAGCCGAAGCGTAGCATAAACGAAGCTCTCCACTACGGAAAGAAAGCAAAGCGAGCATCGTGGGAGATGGGGCCAAAGAGCACGCTCGGCTTGACGAGCGAGAGTGAGCGAGTGTGTGTGTGTGTGAGAGAGAGAGTGCTAGCGATAATGACATGGCACCTGCTCGTGTATTGTTGTTGTTGTTGTGCTTCTTCCACTTCTTTGTTTTGGCTGCTGTGTGACTCTTGCTGGTGCGTCTGCCGACAGGCGGCGTTGCACCGCAACCGCTTATTAGCAATGCGAGTGCGTTAGGGTTTTAAGATACCCTGCAGCTAGCAACTAAGTGTGAAAAGGAGGATTATGGTTTTGTGGTAATGTTGATTAGCGGTTTTATAAGGGGAATACCTACAATATATATTTTATTATACACATATATTTTAATGGCTTTAAGATACCCTCTGCGAATCTAAAGAGTGTTTCAATTATTATTATTATTATTATTTTTATATTTTATAGCAGCAATTATTTATAGGATATCTAAATAACTTCTTACTGCTTCTTAGCATTAATATTTATAGTTTATAGATAGATAAGTCTTTGTATGAATATAAATAGAAATTCAAACTTTTCTGAGTTCTCATCTATCAATATATTACAGGTCAACTGCTAGTCGAGCGCACTCAACGAACTAATCTCTGTCTCGCTTCTTCATTAATGCAACGCATGCTGCACACACGTGTGAGAATTGGCTAATGAGTCAACAGGTTGTCCGCTTGGCTGCCCCAAAGTGGAGTCGCACGAATTTCGAGTGGAGCCGCAGCTGCAGTTTTTCGGAAGGCGGGCGCCCAGTGGGCGGGACTAATTAATGGGCAGCTCGCACTGCATTTATTACACAAATGTAGCTCAGGGATCTGGCAGCGGGCAGCGGGCGGACAAACGGCTAGCATGGCCGGCAGCATGTGGAGAAAGACGGCCAAGGTCAGCGTCATAGTCAGAGTCAGAGTCAACTAGAGTCGCCCAACTGTGGCAGCCACATTTATCAAAGTGCCTTGGCTTTGATTGCCGCAAGCAACAAATTACACGTATTTATAAACAAAGCGGCAAGGCGGCTACAAAGTATCCAATAGACCAATTGAAATGCCTTACTTCTCATTTAACTAGCGCTGAGAACGGGGGCATGGGAGGGAGCGGAAGGGGCAGCTGCAAGAGTGGGGGCCCAAACATTGTCAGCGGCTATACGAAATCCATAAAGACAACACAAATGGCCCGTAAAAATATTATGATGCCATTGAATGTGGCACGAGTTGCTACTGAGAGTATGTGCAACAATGTGGTTGAACGGCTGAGTGAATACCCTGTAAAAGTTGTGGAGAATAAGAAATGAAAAATAGAAAAGAGAGGAGAGTGAATAGAAAAGGGAAAAGATATGATTGAAAAGAGAGAATAATACAGAAGAGAGCAGAGAGAAGAAGAGGATATGAGGGAACAGGAGAGAAGTTAAAGACGAACTATTAGAGATCAAAAGAGAGAACAGAGAATAGTTCTATATAGAGTAGAGAATAGAAATGCATGAAAAGACAAGAAACTGTACAATAAAATACCCTGTCTATAAACTTTTATAGGGTATTTATGCTGCGTGTTGCCTTTAGCTCATCGCATTCTTTTTGTTCTTCTTCAGCTCACTTTGCCGGCACTTTGTTCGATTTGTATATTTGCACTACAAACAGACAAATGGACCGGACGGCGCAGGGCGGCGGGGGCGTGCCAGTTGGGTGGCTCAATGGGCAATTGGTCATTGGCCAAGAGTTTTTCATTCATGCCGTACGCGCCCAAAAGTCAACAGACCCTCAAGAGTCTCTCAGCAACTGTGATGGACAGCGCACGCATACCTATATAGACATATGCATATATACATATAAATATATATATATATGTATATATCTGACGGCCATTTTCGCTGTGACGCCAGCAAAAAGAGATCCGAATCCCTTGGCCGGATCAGCAAAGAGTAAGACAGACGATTCATTGCTTGATTTCTTTCTTTTTACGCTTCGCTCATAATTTATGAGATTTTGTTTTAATGCAAACAAAAATGATTAATTGGCTTCCAATTGGAAAAAAAAGCGGCCATCAGGGCAGTCAAATGTATCGGCTCGTCGCATATAAAGCGGCAGTTATCAAGCAGTCGTAGGTGTACTCAAGATTGATGACATCCCCTTCGGCACCGTCCTCCCTTCGCGCTTAATTAGAGGTCTCGCAAATTGCATGCACTATTGAGTCTGTACCTGGACCAAGTAGGTGCCGCAAGGTGGCAGCTGCCACTGTGCCAACTATCCATCAACTTGATAAGCAGCGCCATTAAAAGTATCTATATGTGTGTGTATATCTACCTATATCAGGTAATCTTATGCATGTACGTATTCAGATTCGATTACGAAATGCAAAACGTGACTTCGTCAACACGGCTGATTAATTGTCGAAGCGAGAGGGGAGACAGAGAGAGAGAGAGGAGAGTGAGAGCTAGAGCGAGAGCGAGAGGGACAGCTAAATGCCGGAAAAAGTTGGCACTGCATAGCGAAAAAAAAAAATTGATATCGCTTGACACAATGGCCAAGTAAAAAGTGATGATACCAAGTGGTAATAAATATAGCGAGCAAACGCGGATATGGAATGATTTAAAATGTAATTTTTTTTGAGTCGGATTAAATCTTGCCTTACTTTAAAAATGGAGTAAACAATTAGGTGCATCATAACACGGATTTATTGGATTCAAGAGATTAATGTATATAATTATATATATACTTCTGATAAACATGATCATTATCAATCATAATCAATCTCATATTTATAATTGTTATATACAAGAAATAAGTATTATCATTTAAGATTTTAAACCAAGTTTCCCTGATGCTTTAAACGAGAAAGAATTCCCAGAATCCATGCAGAGTATTTAATTGTTAAATAAATTGTTAACTGGAGAAAACAAAAACAAGTCAATTTAAGCAAAAATAAGTAATGCAGATGTTAAATAAATTGTGCTACATTACGCCTTATAAATAGCCCAACTAGCAATAGATTTTCCTTTTGTTTTATTTTTAAATATAATTCCACAAGAAATGTAAATAAAAACGAAATTCTATTTATTTTCTGGAACTTTTCAGTTTGATGGAACCTTGGACTTGACTTGCTCTATAAATCGACCAACTATAGATAATATGGGCAGATACAGACAGACAGTACGAACATAGATATCCAAATATATGTGTGTATGTATTTTAGCCAACGGCGAACTGTGTTTATTACAAAAGCTATCTATCAATAGATCTTACGGACCATAAATACCGCTACACAAGCAGCACAAACATTTCTTTTAATGTGTGTGAACCTTTGGAAGCTCGAATGTGGGTTCATTCGGGTCTGTTTATTTACCTGTCCGCCTATGATACATGTGCCTGTCATTTGCTGCTTTTAATTACATCTGTGTGGCATATAGAGATAGACGTACTTGTGGATACATTAAAATAAATGTATTTGTAAGATACATCTATTTTTTTTTTTTGGAACTGCCCTTGCCTACCAACCATTAAGGCCATTACATTAGATAATGTACGGCGTGAATCCTCTGAAAGGTGGCTCATGTTGTTGTTTCTCTGATATTTCCCCACACTCGTATTTATTTTTATATATTTCTCAGACTTGATTTGAGGAAAACATCAGATGAACAGACACGAACATGTTTTCTTTTTAGTATTTGCGTTTATTCCAAGTAAAATATCATTTGTTCAAATATTTCTTTGGTAAATCGTCGATGTGTTTGGTTTTTACGGGTTCTAATTCACGCCTGGCCATTAGATTGGTACACGAGATGGGCGTACTAATTGAGTTTAATGGGGGTCATGTCTTCAAGCCATGCGATTTATTTGACATGCGTCAGCTGCACGCGTTTGCCAACACTAGCAAAAACCGAGAGATTCTTTCCCAACATCCTTGAAACTTCAATATGAATACGTAGCATCGAAAGAAAACTCGATTGAGTGCGAATTGATGCAAAACATACGAACTTGAAATCAGCAAATCAAAGAAACACATATTTTCCATCTTCGTCGATTTTATCTCTCATTTATTTCAACGACTGCCAAAAAAATAAAAAAAATCGAAAACGAAAACCAAAAAGATTGATGATCAATTAAAATACTTTTTCGATTTACCAGCCAGAATTCATTTCGCTCATAATTATCGTAACAATAATTCATAAATTGCGCCCGTGGCGGTTTATACGCTGCCCCATTAGCCCTAGTTCGATTAGTGCTTGGAAACGTGAAAACATGCACAAATTATCGCTAAACGATCTTGAGAATTATTTTTACAGTTCTACAGCGAACAACAATTTGTCCCAGAACTAATCTATAAGATTTTCAGTTGTTTTTTTTTTGTTTAATGATTTCTGCCCACAATTAAACTAATACGATGAATATTGTGTGGGAATGTATATCAGGTTTTCATATATATATTTTTTTGGCAATTTTCTTAATTTTCAACAAGTTTTTAATAGGTCATATTTTCTACCGTGAAAATCTTTAAGCAATAAATTATCTAGACTTAATAACTAATAAACTGAGCACAGGAAACCATTTGCCATCTATAGTTTAACGACCTATAGACTTAATTTTCAAAGTATCTTTTATCCTAAAATATTTTAGCAAATGAGATTTCTAGCTAACTTTTTAAGCGTACCCATTACAGTTTATATTCTTATTAATTACCTAACCTCAAATTGCTCAAAAGTATTTATTATATTTTTAGCGTTTTTTTTTTTTTTTTTTTTAAATATTCAAGCTAAATTTAAAATCTCTCTGTCTCCCTCTTACCTCTGTAGCTATAAAATATCGCTTAGCACTCACCGCTCATTGAACTGTTTGTCATCAGTGCCGCCAGATGGCGTCA